ACAAGCATCCAAAGTTTGTTTTTAAACTAATACAACCATCTCACTTTTAGCAGCTAGGAATACCCACTGTTGTAGTTCTAGCAAATGGCAACTTGATTGTTTGCCTGCACTCTTGCTCCATAATGCACTTTCTTACTACCTTGCTTCTGTCAACTGGTTTGATACTTGTTCTGCTGCTCTTGCTTTCCTGGTAATCTCTGATTTCTCAAAACTATAAATAGGTTTTTAAAAATTATAGCATGTTCCCAGTGGAAATGACCTATATATGTATAAATTGCTCACTTGTGTTACATTTGGTAACTTGCTTACCTCTGTTGTTAACCTTACTGTGATAAGAACATGCCTGTGGTCACTAGTGTACCATTTATCCTTATCTATACGTAAGGGGGTGTGATATGCTCATAATTGTTTAAACTAATGCATGGATCAAAGGTTATAGCAAGTCAGTTAAGCAGGGATTTTATAAAGAAACTGCTTTCATATGTGTTGAGCTTGCAAACACTGATCACCTGGAAGCGGCTGCCTGAGAAATGCCAATTATAAAGCCAGCATTGAGTAACTCATTTGGTTTAAAAACTTATAACTTTCTTAGGTTAGGCAAGACTTCCACCTCAGCAAGTTATAGTGCATTAGGAAATGTTTTAGTTATGATTTCCATGCCAATGGAACTTGCAGGATGACTGCACTGAGTGTGTATAGTTCTTACTTCTTTCAGAGCTTGACAGAATCAAGGCTAGGAGTACCTGTTTTTGTTTGTAGCCTTTAGGACCGTGGACATGTTTTAGTTGTTCTTTAAGATGAAAGTTCTTTTTGTCAGAGGTTTTTCTTGAATGTCATATGGACTTTTCCCCAACTCCCCTACCCCTGCTGATCACAGAAAATGAAGACTTAGGAGAATATTTCCTGTACAGTAGTGTTGTTATCTATCAAGAAATTAAGGTTAGTACAAAATGAGAACACCATGTTCCTCAGCCAATGCTGACTTTAAGGCACCAACTACCAAACAGAGTTCTTGCTGACCTAGAAAAAGATTTAGGTGTCTGTTCTTCAAATGCTCAGGTTCAGAAAGTTGCTAAAAGTACACTGTATCTGTGTGTCTCTTAGATAACCGTGTCTAGTTTGCAAAATCTGCTAGTCAGTTTTCCTAAATAGTCCTAAATTCTTTTCTCTGAAATCCTTTCCTGTACATTGTTCTGTAATCTCTTCAAGTATAATCCTCTCTGTGACTTTTTCTTAGTTCTTCTCTTCTGGAATGGAAACCTGGGATTAAAGTTATATTGTTTTATTTAGAAATTATCAAGATAATTGAAATGATTGCTTTGGCATCCATCCACAAAAAGTAACTGACCTTTCCCTTTTTTTGTGTTTCTTTTAATTTTCTTTTTTCCTTTCCTTTCTTTTTCGCATCAGATAATTTTTACCTTGATACCATTGCTCCCCGTGGAGCTTTATCGCTGCTTAAAATACCATTTGCAATCTGAAGCATATCTAGGGTAGATTTAAGGTAAAGTTTCTGTGTCTGGTTTTTCGCCTCCATATTTGCTGTCTGCTGGCTTGTGATTTGAAAGATGGAGGACTTCATATTTTCTCATTAGAATGAAGGCTACCAAGCTGTTATCATTCAGTGTGTTTCATTTTCATTGGTTGAAGGAGTGGTCTTCCTGAACATGTTGCTTGCCATCGTTTCATACCAATGAGTTGCAGCACTTGCCATTGAAAACAGGAATTTTGTTAGAAGAAGTAACGAAAAAAGCCTTTATCTGCTACTAAATCAAGCTACTTACCCAGTATTCATAAAGTGCTTGAAAATGAAAAAAATATTGTAATATAGTTAGCTCAAGTCATAAACTCTGTTATGTTTCCTTATTTTGTTTGCAAGACCATTTTTACTACTGTGAAAATTTTGTTATTTTGATGTGTGCTTTTGTTATTTTGTTATTTTTTATCAGGTTATCAAAATAACCCTGTGTTATTTTGATGGGTGCTATTTCTGCGTTTGCGTAGTATATATTCATGTTACTTTTCTCCCAGGATGTATTATGGCTCAGTACTACATCTTCTGTGTTAGAGATGGATTTTGTCTGTTGTGTTTAACAAAGCCTATAGAGCCCGTATCTCTATTTGGAAAGTCCTTTCTTAAAGGCCTATATGCCAATACACAATTAGACTTGAATATATTCCACAATATTTTTTTTCTGATGTTTATCTAGAAGTGGACAAATTGAAAATGTTTTTCCATAGTTCTCAATTATTTAAGTTATCTTATGAGTCTTTTTCAATGATCAAATAGCAGAAACGATTGCTGCCATTTCAATTTATCTTTTTTTCCCTGTCTCCTAGTGTCTGTCACTTAAAAAAATTAAAAAATCATGGTTAAGTCTTAATGAACAAAGATGATGGGTGACGTATTTAAGAGCTATTTGTCAATGACTATAGCTTTTATGTAAGGGCTCTTGTTCTGTTGATTTTCACAGTTAATATAGTTGCAACTTTAGAGGAATCATTAGTCCTATGATCCAGGAATGCTTTCTCAGTTCAATAGGAAGAACAAGTTCAGTTCACTGTTACTTGCCCTCTCTGAGATAGAAAACATTTGCTGTAAGAGAGAAAGATGAATTGACTTGTCTAAGACTATGCTAAGCTGGTCGAGGAATAAAGATTAATTATAGAAAATACTGTCTTTTGGATTTATTTTATGATTTTGGATGCTGCTGCTTTTGCCATTGTTTTAAACAGGATTTTTGTATTACATAGTTCAAAGCACAAGCGAGAAACTTAATTTTGAATTTATGTAACTAATCTTAAGACATAATGTTTGTCTCAATTTAAAACAATAGATTTCACTGTAGAACAGCCTTGTCTTTTTTTTTTTTTTTAATGTCTTATCTCTGGGGATGTTATCTGTAATTACACAGAATTATTGACTAACTTGGTTTGCACAGGACCTCTGACAGTCATCTGGTTGAACTCCCCTGCATCAAGCAGGTGCAATTAGATCATGGTGCTAAGGCTTGTTTAGCTTTAGTATCTTCACAACCCCTTCGGGCAACTTTTTCCACGTGTTTGACCATACTCATGCTCTTTTTTTTTTTTTCTTTTACGTTCTTATACTTAACTGAATCTTTCATCAGTCCGCAGCCTGTACTGTTGCAAGGGGTTATTCTGTCCCAGGTGCAGGACTTTGTGTTTGCATGTGTTGAACTTGATGAGGTTCCTGTCAGCCTGTTTTTTCCAGTCTGTTAGTTGCCTCTAAATAACAGCCCTCCTTTTCAGCATATAACTTGTTGTGGGTTAACCCCAGTAGGCAGCTCAGTCCCATACAGCCACTTGCTCGCTTCCCCCCGATGCGGGGGAGGGAGAATCAGAAGGGTGAAAGTGAGAAAACTCGTGGGTTGAGATAAAGACAGCTTAATAGGGAAAGCAAAAGCTGTGTGCGCCAGCAAGGCAAAATGTGAACTTCCTGAGTTTTATTAAAGACATCAAACAGTATTGTCCCTAACATTAGCCTGTGGGGACATTGCTAGCAATCTGCATCCTGGTTGGACTTTTCTATCCACCTTGGTGGGAGACTTTGCTAAAGTCAAGGTATATGACATCCACTGATTTCACCTTGCCTGCACAGGTAGTCATCTTGTTGTAGAAAGCAATCATGTTTGTCACGCATGATTTGCCCTTGCTAAATCCATGCTGCTGTTCCCAATCATCCTCTTATCCTTCTTGTGCTTGGCAGTGGCTCCCAGGGAGACTTGCTCTGTAACCTTCCTGGGGACTGAGGCTAGATTGATGGGCCTGTAGTTTCTCAGATCCTCCTTCTTGAAGACAGGCATTAAAACTGTTTTTCTCTAGTCATCAGGAACCTCCCTTAATCGCTAAATACTTTAGCTTTTGTATGTATGTTAAGTCTGCAAACCAAATACTACCTTATTCTAATGCAAGATGTGACAGGAAAATACAACGCAGAAGTAATACTAACATTGTGTTCAGATGAAGTTCTTAAGACTTTGGGGCAGGAAATCTTGATGTTTCAGGCTACTGTCAAACTGCACATAAGCTAGTTCAGATTCTGATCTGAGGAAAAAAAAATCTTGCAGCGCTGTTTCCTGCAGGTGGTGTTCCCTGTTAGACAAGATTATATATGGTAGAAATATACAGAATGATTTGAAGGTAGTTAGGCATTTGGTGTTACCTGAATTTACAAGTACAGTAAGTGCTGTTTAGGGGACCTCTGGACTTCAAGAAACTACATCGTTAGGCTCAGTCTTATGTGACATTTTAGATTAGTTTCATTGACTTTCAAGGCCTTAAAATGTCTCTAGGGAAGTGTACAGTGGTTGCAATTTTAAAAATTGAAATAAAACGCGGTTGAGTGATAAGGTGTGTATGTGTCTGGGTTTTTTCTCATTTCTTGTGTTGGTTGTGTTTAGGAAGAGCTGAGCTCACTTGTATTGCTTCACTGTTAAACTGAAGTAGTTGATTAGCAGGGAGAATAGGGGGAATCAACTCCTTTTCTTAGTTAAATGTTTACTGTGCTTTCCCAAGGTTTATAAGTTATAATTCAGTTGTCCTTGCTCTGTATGTGGTCTGTGTAGCCTAACCCTCAGCATTGTGACGTCCATGTGGTTGATCTGCAAATAGAGAACCTTGCATGAAATGTGATATGCTTTGTCTTTAACTTTATCTGCAGTTTTGTGTGTGTAAGAAAATAAGAACCAAATGTTTTTAATTTTTCCTTTTGTCATGTACTTTGGGGTTTGGCACGGTAGAGGAAGAAGTCCTTCTTTGAAGGCACTTTGTGTTTGACGATCTATTACGTTTTGTTTGGTGTAACAGTTGTTGTCCAAGTTGTAAAAACAAAAATTGGAACATGATTTGTTTTTTAAATATGTTCAAATAGTGCTGAAGATGCTGCTGCTTTTCGCAATATAATATTTTGACAATTTGAAAAACATTTTTTTGTTTGTCCCTTCTCTCTGTTCTTTGCTCTCCTTTTTTTTCCAAAGCTGTTGAGGTACACATTGGATAAGCACGGTCTGCAGCAGGTGAGGATCGTAGCCAGCGATAGACTGTGGGAGCCCATTTCCTTTGTCTTGCTGCTTGACTCTGAGCTCCATGGAGTGGTCGATGTGATTGGGTAGGGGGTTCTCTCTGTTTTTCTTTCTTGGTGGTTTGTTCATAGTTTGTCTTCATCTTGCTTATTTATGACTAGCACAGCCAAAGCTTTACCTCTCTATACTCTTACCTGCAATGAAAGGATTGATACTATAATCTTTCTCACTAACCCACGTCAAATCACACGGGCTATTGTCCTGGTGACAGCCTCAACCCTTTAATTGAATCATGAGTCTCCTATCATGTGGAAGATTCCTATTGGCTGTGGTTGCACTTTTGATGAATTGAAAGTTTTTTGGATAACCCTGTGTATTCTGAGGGTTGTTTTGGTTCCTGTATTTGGTATGCAAAAAGTGCTTTAGCTTTACAGCTGTGTATACAGCCTTGCATTACTGACTTCCACTGGTCTGTTACAGAAATGGGTGTGATCCAGAAATGAATTTGGGCTATGATTCTTTTTTTAGTTACAATAATGTCTTGATTCTTATTTCCCGTTTTTTGTTTTGATGGGAAGGTTGTGTTTGGAAAGCATGCAACCAGCTGACTTGTTTTTCTCGTTCTGGGTTTCATCGTATGATGGTAATATTTTGCAAAAGTAGTAGACTAAATTTGAGATTGATTACTGACTTGTCTGCTGAATGGAAATGTGTGTAAGACTTGCTCATCAACTTTTCTTTTTACAGTAGCTCTAAATTTTAATTATTAGCTTCCATAAACTTGCCTGACCCAATCACATGCTTCAAATGTGGCTGTTCCTTGCTTCAACTTGAGCCTTTTTCATTCATCTTTATACATCTGACACATAGGAGGTGTAGAAATGAAGGCTTTCCCTCCAAATACAGATAGGCAGTCAGTGCCTTATGAACAACAAAAAGTATCCTGACAGTTTTTTGCAAGTGGAGTCTTGGATCATGTGTGGATCAACAAGTGGAAGCAATTGTGAACTCACTCTGACCAGACGCAAATCCACTGTAATTACTATGATCCCAATATAGTAAGCATGCTTCCCTTCTGTTTTTTGGCAGCTACAAGTGTGCACCCAGAGTCAGTTCCTGAAGCTCAACTGTTTTTACACTGTCTCAGTAAACTGTAGTTGCTTAACTCTTTGCAAGTCTAAGTTTTATGTCCCTACTCTGATTCAATCTTAACAGGGAGATGAAATACTCTTGTGTAATGGATAATCAGTTGGCTACTGGACATTTAGTGGTGCACGTCTCATCATGGTATCTTTAAAAAAAAAAATGTTGGCTTGCTTTTTTTTTTTTGAAACTATAAAAAGTATTTCCTGTAGCCAGTATGAATGTACATAAAATCAATTTTGGACGTGGTAACGTAATTTGTGATCTATGAGGTCTCTCATCAGACAAGCTGGATGGGAGATTAGTTAAAGCTGCTGCTTTTGTTTTATTTTGCACTATTTGCATCCAGGCTTCATCTGCAAGATATTGTAGTGGCTAGAAATTAGAGGGAGCCCTGAAGACACACTGTAAAACTATTAGTAGATGTTCACCCACATAGGAATGACCCAGGTCACCAAAGCTCTTTATAATATGATATTTCCAAACAGCTTTTCAGAGCTATTATGGTTGCATCAATTTTACCAGTGAAATGAAATATAATGAATTATAAACAAGTATTACTCCTACTTTGCACACATTTAAATTACATTGTAGCTCTTGAAAACAATGTTTTTCAAGGATGGGCTTGCAAATTCCACAGCCACTCCTATGAGTACTTTAGATGTGCTACTTGTTTGTAACACAGTTAAACCAGTTAGTTTTTTACATGCTGTACAGTTAGAGACCAAGCTACTCTGACTCTACATGTTGAAAATGCCACCCCCCTCTCCCCCCACCGCCTTCCTGCTGTTAATTGAAAGTAAACAGGAAGTGTTTAGAAAGTGTCAGTGAGTTTAGGAGTAACAACTTTCATTTTCACCTAATGTAACTTTAGTATGCCGTTAGGTCTTTTTGGTTAGAAGCACCAGTGTTCTTAACCAGATCTGTTCTAAACACACATTTTGCTGAATGTAAGTGTTGCAGAAAACCAAGCCTTTTAAAGAAATTTGTTAGACCTAATTATGCCCAAGTTAACAACCTAAGGAAAACAAGATGATGTTGTGACATTACTGCATGATGGAATCATGATGTGGTGCCTGTAGTAGTGGGAATTCAAACTGTCCTGAGTCCCTCCCAGGCCTGTGTGCTGATATGGAATGAGCAGTAGGAAAGACAGTGTTTTCTAGAGATGTTTTTGAGAATTAGATTTTAGGTTTTCATGATATTATATAGGCTGATCTTTTAATTTAGTTTCTACAGCCTTGTACTGATGCGTGAGAGAAAAATGGTGGAAACCCCTGCTGTTTCTATCCTGAGTTTTTCCTCTTCCTCCCCTTTGGGCCATTGCTATATGCAAAATAAAAAATAACACAAGTTTTTTTGTTTGTTTTTTAACTAAGTTATCCAAATGAAGTCACTGTGGGCAATTGTGCGAAGCAGCATTTGCAATCCATAAGTAGAAGAGCTTTTCTTAAATAGTGTTACTTTCTTAATAGATCTGAGTAGCTTCCCGACACAGGCAACTGTGGATTTTTTTTTTTTCCCATTGGAGTTATATTGCTTCATCATCTGCTGTGTAAAACACACTTAATCTCATAATAATTAATATTTTAAAAATACACTGTTACCACTCTAACAGCTAGAGGCCCTGATGATGAACCAACCATCTGCTGGTTCCAGAGAGATTGAAAGAAGGAGGGAACAATGAAAATACTTTTTTAGTAAATGACAGTGGTTTGAAGAATGCAAACACTGGTAGTAAAGGCTGTTGGTAAAATCTTCTCTCGTAGTGATAAGAGGTTTAAACTTATGTGTCACTTCTGTTGTAGTTCTGTTCCTACTATTCCTTTCATTACCTTTTCTCCACCAAGATCCATTCTTTTTCCCCCCTTTCATGATTCTTTCCTCTCTCTTTGCAATGGTCTTCTGTTACAGTGTGTCTGACTCTCTGCTCTTTTGAGCAAAGAATCCAAAATCCTGCTGCCTCTGCTGAAGCATCGCATTTATAAGAATGATGCATAAACTCTACTCCAGTTCATCTTTTCAGGCAGCAAGAAGGGTAGGTGTTTAGGAGTCTGTGGTTTTTCCTGAAACATTAATCAGGATACTCAAGTCTCTCCAAATGGTAGTGGTCCTTGCGTGGACCAATTATTTCCTGAGAGTTACTGGAGTATAAGTCGCTCCTTTGTAGGCTTTTTCATTTCCATTGAAGCAAAAAGATTGTTTTCACAACTGAAGGAGCAGAGCATGCTGTTTTGGACACAGCTAATCTCCTGTCCTTTGCTGCACACCTTGTGTTAGTTGTTGAGGCTGTAGAGTGGCGCAAGACATCTAAAAGAGGGCTGTAGCATTATCTAGTGTTTTCTTTAAATATAAATCACATAGAGTTCAACAAATCCAGCACATACTGGGTGTGAAAGCCTTCACTGTAATCTGATAGCAAATGTTTATCTTGTGCATTTGGGTGGGTCTTTTTAAAGTATACACTCTACAGTGCTATTAAAAGTTTAAAAAAGAAAGATTGGTGTACTCTTTTTTTAAAAAAAGTTAGTTTTTATATGGAATAGGAGTTATGCACTCCTTAGTCATGTCCTACTTTTTAAGGACTAATTTAGTTAATGAAAGTAAACCAAAACCCCTTGGTTAACATCAGTGTAAGTGAAAAGCAAATACAGTGTAAATTGTGTTCATTAACAGTAACAGAAATTGCATCTAAGAGCAGAGAAAAATGATTCATTTCTCAACTGGTGGTGAAACTGTTTTATCTGATTGCATATCAGTGGGAGAAAGTGAGGATGTTATAAGCATGTGGGCTTTAAGTGGAACAAAGCTGCCAGTAAAGATACACTGAAGGAGTCTGCCTCTAGAACCTGTTTGTTCTCCCTGTAGCTTTAATCCTGTTTATCATCCCATTTTTTTCCAATTTATTTCCATAGCTTTAGTGTCTTTGCATTGAATTATTTCTCTTCCCTCTTATGCAAATAAAGGCGACCCTCTGTCTTAGTGCAGGAAATCACAGCTCTATAGATCTTGTTCCTGTGTAATCTTACGTAAAGCTCTCTAACACCCCCCTGCTTTTTTTTTTTTTTTTTCTTTTCTCTTTTTGTAAAGTACGGCTTATATTTGGCAGGGATGTTGACTCTTAATATCTAAGAAACAGCTTTTCAGCATATGGAGTGTAGAAAGAGAAATTATTCCTTCTTTGCCTTGTCTTTGCAAGCTACACACTTTACGCCATTACAAAAACCTTTGCTGGGTATTAAGGTAATACTTGTGTTTCCAAACCAAAGGGGAAATATAGAGTAATCTGTACAGCAGAGAAGGATGTAGCTAAAATCTTTACTATCTGTTACACTATCATTAGTGAAGCTATGTATGAAGGACTACAACACTGGGAAATGGCCCATTGTCCAGTATGGGGAAAATAATGAAAAGAACCCAACAGTCAGCCTAGAAAAACTGGTATTTCTTGTGTCCCTGTCACAAATGTATCAATTTGTCACATTTCAGGCTAATAGTAAAGGAAATATTTATGCCTTCATTCCCAGTGCTGATAGTTTCATTTTAGTGTAGGTATTTAGTGTGTTCAATGAGTGTGCTAAATGAGGGCAAAATCATGACCCTGTTTTCTGCAAGTGATTTGAAAGGTTTTATTTTGGTCAGACTAATTTGGCACAGTGAATCAATGTTGTGATTGAGTATAATCAGTAGTCTTAATGTGGGAGAAAGCATTGCTCCTCATATTAAGGAAGATCTTGGAAAGAAAATTAGCTTCCTTTACATGTTTCAACTATTTTCAGTTTACATCTCTGTAACTTTTATAATCCAACTAGCATGCCTTTTTGAAACCTGAGTTTATTAAAAAGGTGTGCAAAATTAGTCAAGTTCATGTTTAGGTCCTAAGACATTCATGCAGTTAAGTTCTTAGAATAGTGCCTAGTACTGTATCTTACTGTTGATTTTATAATTATTTACGGTTTTGTTTAAGATAGTACAAGGTAGCATGTATTTTCTCTATTTAGCGCATTACAGTTATGAAAATCTTCAAGCTCAATTTCAGGATAAAGCTTCGCTTTAGCAAGCTGCAGAAATTGCATGATATATTTAAAGCTAGGTTAACTTATATGCTGGCATGTATCAGAAGAAATAATCTTCTACTGACGCAAAGATAATAAGCTACGGAATATTATAGCTCTTTCTGGTTCCATTTTTTTTCTATTCCATTAGTATTATTCCAAGAAAATTTGTTTTTCATTTTTCAGTTTGGAGGAGGTGAATCATTGCTGCTGTATGTACTTCCAGGCTTTGATTTTTCTTTTTGTGTTAAGTGCTCTTTCTTTTTAAAATATTGTGTAGGGCTCACTATCCTGGAACAAAAACAGTGCCAAATGCCTTATTAACTAAGAAGAAACTGTGGTCCTCAGAAGATTACAGTACTTTCAATGATGAAGTAGGTGCAGGCTGCTGGGCTCGGATCCTGAACCAAAACTACGTGAATGGAAACATGACCTCGTAAGTGTTGTGCACTGTTGCTTGCTTTCACAACTTCATATGTAAGAATTGTTTAAAGTACTATGTAACACATCCGTTTGCTATGGTAAGACAGTAGGTAAACTGAAACTCCACTGTCAGTCTGAATGCAAATGTAGTAAAGTATGAAGTTTACTGTCCTTACCTCTTTCTGTGGTAGAAGTCCCACAAGTTTTAATGTATTCTTGAGTTACTGTTCCACAGTATCCAATGGCTTATGCAGCTGAGTTCAGATGCCTTTGAGACTCTGATGATATTTGTTAAAAAGAGAATGTTCTTAAGAAGGACTACCAACATGAAAGCCATTGGAGGAAAATAACAATAAAGCTAATTTATCTGTATTTTTCTTAAGGTCTTTATCAGGTGGTTTGTCTTCAGTTAAAAGTAGTAGGTACGGATGTAATTATCTAGTTTTTCCATACAACTTCTTTCTCAGAGTCCATTCTAAAACATGCTGTAGTCTTTTGATATGTTTCCTGTTTCCTGCACATTTTCTTTTGAAACTGAAATCTGGAAGAAAGCTGTTCTATTTACTGGGAAATTACATAACTCGCAGTTTTAGAAGAGACTAGAAAACATACTTCGATGTTTCCAGTGCAACAACTACTAATCTGAGAGGGGGGGGGGGAGAAGTCTGATTAAAAAAAATGTAGGCATCAAGATGTAAGCAAAATTGTTCAAAGCTTTTAGTTTTTATATAACTTCATTTTGGAATAATAAAGAGAAATCTTTTTGTCTGAAATGCTTGAAATGGAGCACAGCACAAAGCACTTAGAAAATTTCACCTTGCAGAGGAGACAGAAGATTCATAGAAACCAGGTGGCCCAAGAAACTTCCTTTTACAAGTATCTAACAGATTAATATTTCCTACATGAATTCCTGACCATTCTGGCTGCCTCTTGACTCTCATATGCTTTAGTATCTTACTTTGAGGTCTTTCTTTTGCCATTGTTTTTCTTTTTTACAGGCACTTTGTAATTATATATGCCCCATTTGTTTAGCAACGTGACAGCCAGACCTATGTATTGTGTTTAGAAATTATTGTGGGATAGTTCCAAGTCCATATATCCAATATTGAAGTTATCTTGGCTTTTATATTGAAAACAGAGTCTTCCTGATGAAAGGCAGCTTATCTTTCTGCTAAGCTCGTTTCCTTTGAACTTGAGTTCCCTACATTCCTTTTCTAAGTTTGAAACTCTGCAGAACAAGTTTATTGTGAGCAAGTTGGGTTTATAACTCAGGAGTGGTTTATTTTATGAGCAACTTTTTGTAGGATTTCAGGATCTCTTCTGAAATGCATTTATAGTGTGATAAATCTATGGCAATGACTTTAGAATGAGGCCTTTGCACTCATCTATATGCAATAGCAGAACAGCATGCCAGCTTTTGCTTTCTACGTAACTGCTTTATTAAGCTGTATTTCCATACTTATGGCACACAGGTCTTAAGTTTAAAGTCCTAGCAAAAGATTTTCAGTGAAGACCAAAAGACCTGAAGTAATTAACCTTGTCAGTATCCTGACAACTTCTTGAAATAGCGACAGCTCCTGGAGGATGGCTGGTTAGAGTTGTTTTCTCTTTGTTATTTATATGGATAAAGGAAGGATTATTTTTTTTAGTGGTACTAAATTGCTCCCCCAAACCCCTCCCCCCAAAAAAACCTACCATCATCACCAGTAGCAACCAACCACCCAAAAACTCCCAAAACAACACCCCAACAAAAAGCTGTAAAGCTTGATAACTTAATTTTTTCCCCTTCAAAACAGGAAAAAAAAATACAAATGGAGTCTTTAACCCTTAGTACACATTTCCTTTGATGTGCAACTTTTTATGGTGATATAGCCAGAGCATGTATCATCAGTTTTGTAAGAAGTTCTCAACACTGGAATTTAATTTGTTTTATTTTCCTCTCCTGTGTTTTTTCTCCTTTAGCTGGAATGATTTTTTTTTGCCTTAAACTTCTTTTCATTGTATGCTGGAGAAAAAAGAGGAATAAATTCTTGTACTAAATTAATCTAATACTATCCATATGAAAGGAGCAAACAAACCTGTTTTTATTCCAGAACCATTGCATGGAACTTGGTGGCTAGTTATTATGAAGAGTTGCCCTTTGGTCGATGTGGATTAATGACAGCGCAAGAGCCGTGGAGTGGCCACTACAAAGTAGAAGCTCCTATCTGGATTACAGGTAAAAAGTTTGCAGTTAAAAGTTTGGTAATCTAACACAGAGCATAACTGTATTTTCCGAGGCCTTTAGTTGTTTAGTGTTTTTTATATGTATTATTTTTTGTACCAAAATAAAGTAGTTTTGTGGAAAGCTAAAAAGCTCCCTTCAATAGAAAGCAGAAAGATCTAATAGCACGGGAAATCTTAATACTTGACCGTTAGATACAGCAGAAATGAATAAACTACTGCCTTTTATAGCTGTTACTGTTAAAATATTTTGATCTGAAATGCCCATAAAGATCAGTGTGCTTTCCTAGTTCCTTTCCCTCTTCTTTTTTTAATCCTTAAGAAGACATTTGATACCTCTCAATTTGAGAAAATGGAACAAAGAACCCCTGTACTCTTGTCCTGCTTGAGATTCTTGGCATGTGTAAGTTAGCATTTCCTTGTGCTTGGGGAAAGGGGAGTATGTTCACATAGTGTCTATTGACATGTGGATTCACTGGCTACTCTGTAGTCCTTCTGTAATATTTTACTGTCTTTGCCACAGTTCAGTAGAGCAAGTAGCATATGCAAATAAAGGAGGAACAAGGCAAATGCCTTCATTTTTATTCTTCTGCTAGTTACCTGTATATGTAAAAGCATTAAAAAAAAAAAAAAAAGGCCTTACTGTCATATGAACAGTTCAAAACAACTGAGCAATTGTTCCTGTTTCCATGTTACTCAGGATTTTCATGGTCTAGGTCATATTCTTCTTTGGTACTCTCTCTTATATGCTGAAAAACTTACTTAGTTATTCCTCATGGAGATGCCCATCTATGCTTTCTCTGGCTCAACTGTTTATTTAAAAAAAGAAAAAAAAAAAAGAGATTTGGTAAAATCTAAACTGTGATGAATATTCATATTGCATATACATGATTGACTTATATAGTGGTACAATAATTTTTTCTTCCTGTCTAAATAATCGTTATCATTTTAACTGTTTCATCTGCCACAGAGCTGATGTTTTTAATTGTGCCTTAGTGTAATTCTTCAATTTTTCTTGTATAGGTAGAATTTGTTTTGGAAGTTCCATTACTTTCTTCCTAAATGAAGTTTTTGTTGTGTAAGCGTGTGTGAGAAATTTAATTCAGACTACAAATGGTGTTATTTTTTTATCAAGACAATTATTTTCTTCTGATTTTTGTTCTGTTTTGTCTCAGCACACACAACACAGTTTACTCAGCCAGGCTGGTCATACTTGCGAGTAGATGGACAGTTAGAAGGAGGTGGTAGTTTTGTAGCTCTGACAGATGGCCTAGGAAACCTTACCATCATCATTGAAACTATGGTATGTGCATCAGCAATTCTAATGAACTAGAAAAGACAAAGGAAATGATTTGTTATGAAGTTTTATTTATGTAGTTCAATATCTATGAATATGTTCTTTGATGCTTGTAGCTTTGTTAGTGAGACCACTAGAGGTCCTTTTTTCTGTCTAAACTTTGAATAGCTAGTTGAATCTTCCTGGAGACCAATATGTATGTCATCTTTATATCACAAATTAGCTTTAATTTGATGACACACTCTGGGAGGAAATTAAATTGTGCTTTTTTTAAGCAGTATTCAAAATAAAATTACTAAGCTAGTATAATTGTAGTTATCGTTACGATGACAGGATCAATTTGCAACTATTTATTTCACTATGTTGCTTTTTTAATTTCAATTTATACTGTATGTGTTTCATGAACATTGCCATGCGGTACATTCCAGTAATGCATGTTCCTTCTGTTACATTTATTTTTTTCTTCAGACTCATAATCACTCTCAATGTATCAGGCCTCTACTGCCTCATTTCAGTGTGACACCTCAGAAAGCAACTTTCTACCTCAAAGGGTCATTTGTAAGTAGATCTTGAATACATTTGATCAGTCTTTTAAAATTAATTGCTATCCATAATCAAATACACGCAAGACAATATGACAGGTTAACAAGAAATAGGAGTTCTTTACCTCCAATACTAGAGGCTGTTACACACCTGGCAAAGTTTTAAGCGTTCTTGTTCTGCTTTTACCATGAGATGTAATGTCAGAACTGAATTCATAGAATTACTACCTCCCAGTCTAATCATCTGCATATTGAAGAAGAAATTCCCCAGAACAGAAATGCAATTGGATTTTTCTTTAGGATTTATTCCAAGGCTGGGTGCTCTGACATGCTGACATAGTTTGACTGGCCAGCATGGCCATGACCTTTCTAGTTGTTATCAGCTCCTTTCCAGGGAAGTAACTGCAGTTGATTGTATACTGTAGGTTATGTTGTTCCATCCTGTGAAGAGATATTCTGAGAATCTCCCAATTGTGGTGGTGTGTGTGTTTTGTGTTTTTTGTGTTTTTTTTTAAATCTCGCTAAACTGAATTTCCCTCTGAAATGTGAGCGATACTTTCATTTGTGAGTGAATCTTTGTTAGTAGATTTGGATGATTGCTTCTCAGAAGGTGAAAGTGTTTACTTGTTTGGAATTTGATTTTTGGTGGCATTAGTTTCCTTTTATTTAGGAGGAGATAGTTTGGACAGTACTTCTGGCGATAAAACGCTTTGCTTAGGAAAAGTAGTTGAGCGTCACTTCTCATATACAGCTCCCTTTGGGGGAGGTATCAGACAGCTTATCCAAACCTGACTCTAGTTTGCTTCCTTTGTTGTTCATCTGGGTAACTAAAAAAAAAAAAAAAAAAAGTAGGGGTTGGATATGATTAAAATCTGTAACTAATGATATGCCATAGTATAGCAGAAGTTTGGAGATCTGTAAGCGAAGTACTTTGCTCAGAAATGAACATCAAAGAACCAGCAACTAAACTAAAGGTCTCATTAAAGCAAAATTAGCAGGAGATTGTTTCTGCCTGGTTGCTCCTAGGCAGAGAGCTTGTATCAAAGGGATACTGTTGTAGTTAATAGAGAAGCTAAAGATTGCGTGTATGATTGCAATGCTTTCTGTCTTTATAAGCAATGTTACTGCATGTTAGGACAATGGCTTATTGACGTATAATCTATAAAAAGATAAGCCATATATAATGGCTAGTTGAATAGAGTGGTGGCCTCTAATGTGAGCAAGAGCTCTAAAATAACAAAAATTAGACACACTTAGAGGACTGATATTTGACAAGGTGAATATTCAAGGTTTCTTGTGGGGTTTTTTGGGTTTTTTTTTTTTGTTTTTTTTAATTTTGTATTGTGTTTCATTGTAGTATATGGTGCAAACCCTTCAAGTGTGGCATTCTAGACTTGGGTTTGAATCGGGAAACTCTAGTCTTTTCCAGCAACTCCATCCTGTGAAGGTAAGTCGATCAGTTTTAATTACAGTCTGTCTGCAATTTCAGGTGTTTCTTCCCCCTTTGCTGGAACTCCTGGACTTTCATGCCTAAACTGCATAATTAGGGCATGTTTTATTAGCTCTGTTTGACTACAATTTTACTAGCTATATACAAACTTACCTGGAGGTAACAAAGCGTTAGGGGGAAAGACGTTTTCAAAATAGCTTGGAGATATTAAATGCTGAGGCAAGAAGACAGGATTTTTGCCTTAAATCAGGACTTAAGAGGATCTCCTTTAATTCAGGAACTTGGGTATTTTGTTATTTAGTTGTTTGATTTTTGCAGCTTAAGCTTTCTTTAATTCCAGGTGTGGAAGGGAAGTTTTTCTTTATATCTAAATGTGGATGAAGTCTACACTTTAACCACACTCAAGACAGGGCAGAAATGTGGTTGCCCAGAGCCTCCACCACCTCAGCCCTTTCCTTCAAATTACAAAGATGATTTCAATATTCGTAAGTCAGAAATCTCTTATCTAAAAACTTAATTCACACACAGATATAGTCTTAATGTAGAAAGGCAATAACAATTATGTTATTTGAATCCTCTAATGTAAGCGATATGAATGTGTGTTTTATTTTTGTTTATTTATACCTGCTTCTCCAACAACTTACACCTGTATACTTCACTTGCAATGAGGTGTACTTAATTCTGTGTCTTCACTGTGTAATTGCTAACAGTTTTAAAATTCTTGATGCAAATGAGATAGCTTATAACTATAGTGAACTAGTTTTTGGAAGGAAGATAGAGAAGAAGGTAATTTACTTTGTTTATGTGTTTGCAAAAACTGGCATCTGCTTAAAAACAAAAAATAAAATCACCTTCCAACTCCCAAAACTTCAGTTTTGGAGACTGCGCTTTGATAAAGTAAGTAAAAACTCTGGAGAATATTTTCAGAGGAAATTTCTGAAAACACAAATACACATAAGAAAAATAATGTTTTGGTGTTGATATGTATTTTATTTTCTGAACAGGTAATCCACCTTTCAGTGAAGCCCCAAATTTTGCAGATCAGACAGGTGTCTTTGAATACTTCATAAATAGTTCTGACCCAGGAGATCATGTGTTCACACTCCGCCAGGTAGTGGTTCAGCGACCCATCACTTGGGCTTCTGATGCAGACCAGACCATCAGTCTCATAGGAAATTTTCAGTGGTATGTAAATACTAATTTCTAGTGACATCTGGGGAAACTTCCTCCTTACCAGTGTGAGTTATGATCAGTTAATCTGTCTCAAGCCTCATTTCTCTTGGACAGAGGGCTTTTGCATTCAGACTCTCTGTAGACATGTAGAAATGATGACTTAAAGGGACTTCCAAAAGTCATTGAGCCCTGCTCAGGGCTATTGCCAAATCTAAGAGATCAACTGTGTCTTTGTCTAAATGAGTCTTAAAAACATTCAAGGATGGAGAGTCCACCACATCTCTTGGTAGCTTGGCCCACTGCTGCACTGTCCTGGAAATTTCTTTTCCTAATGTCCTGCTGGGCATATTTGTTCAAGGTGATTTTTCAGAATAATGGGTCTGAGTTGGCGTATTAGAAAGACCAAGTCATAATCCTAATTCAAAGCGTGCACTGAGTTTCAGTACATTTTTAAATGGGACAAAAAATTGATTCAGTTTAAATTACTTTATTTTGAGTTGTCTTACTTGATTGTTAGTGATTTGATCAATCTCATATCAATGAAATAGTGTGGGAGTTAATCCAGTTATATTTGTTGCAGACTGCCATCTTCTGAGCAGTTCCTAGAATTGTGTGGATTTGATTCAACTGCTACTTAAAACAGTTTTATTTCTGGGTAAATGTAACTGAGCTTTACTGGTTTGATAAGAATATGGTTATGATTGCAATTCTTTCTAGGAGCTATAATGATGGTAATTTGGAATCAAGTAGCATATTTTAGCATAATGATTATTTAAAATTAAAAAGCATTTGGGAAAGAGCCTGTTAACTAATTGGTTTAGTAATAGTGAGTAATAATAAATTTTACACTTAAAACTTTTTCTTCTATTTGGAAGTCTAGCTTAAATTTTTTTGATATGTTTTTTTTAAAATAGCCATTCTGTCAGTTTTTTTTTCACTTTGATGGGATCATTGATCCCTCAAATGCTTTTTCAGAACATGCTTCACACTTCTAATTTCTGGCCTGGACAACTGATTGAATCACTTTGCTCTGAAGCCTAGAAGAATATCACCATCTTGTAGCTGGAGGTTGTTCTTCAGCTATCTGATGTTTTCTTCCGCAGCCCTCTGTTAAGCAAAGTCTCATATTCCCCCTATAATCAACTTTCCCTCATTGAGTAGGTCATATTCAGTGAGCCCTATAATAGCTACACAGGATGTGTATTCTTAAAGTCTTAAATTACTGTACTGAGATTCCTAAAAACTTCCTATTATTTCATAGTTGTTCCATTTTTTTTCTGAATTTTCATCTTGTCTTCAGAACCAAGCTTGCTTCCTGAATATTCAGCTGATTATTCAAGTTTTACTGATCTGTAACTTTTCATAGTGTTAACATTCAATTTCAGGCCCTCTGATTTGTTTGCTTCATCCTCAGTTTAAGGTTCATCTTGTCCTGGATAGATGTTTTCAACCATTAGTGCCTGCTGTTGAAATACTGAACCAATCTTGCAATTAATTTCTCTATGGAATGATATTTGACTTCAGTCATCAATGGCAATTTACTATGATTAAATTTTAGGATTATATAGTTGGTTTTAGTTTGGATTTCAATCTTGTGCTTGTGAAAACTTTTTGTTTCTACTCCTGAATTTGTAGTGGTTTGCTCTGATGGTTTTATTGAACCTAGTTGTATACTGAAAATATTACTATTTAACTCATTCTACATTGCTTCCAATATCTTTACAATAGCTTCAGCAAGATGTGGGGGTCTCTTGTTTAATACATAAGGAGGCAAGAAAGAAATCTTGTTTGTGTAATGAATATGTATCCAAGAATCTGATACTTCTAATAGCATTATACTAGAATGAAATCTCAGGTCGTTCTTACTGTTATGTAAAAGGTGGGGAGAAAAGTTGCTAAAATAAGTATTCTTTATGATTTAGTTATCAGCTTGAGCTGATGACAGAGTGTCTTTTCACATTCTGTAAATAATTATAGATAATTAGAAACTTCCTAAATATGCGACCTTGTGGCTGTATCCGTATTGCAAGTCCTTTCTGACACGGGATGTAGATTTTTAATTTGAATGTACATTAATAGAATGCTTTTAATTTTTATTGTTAAGAGACTTGTAGCGCAACTTCAGGGCGGGGGAAGTTGTGTAAATTTTCTGGGTGCCGTTGATTGTTCTGGTATTCCTTTGCTTTATTCTCCTTTATTCTCCTTTACAGCTGTCATTATGTGTATAACATGGTCCTTTACTGTTGAGCTGAAGTATCACCTCAGAAAAATCACATAATTTCAACCTCTTTGAACATTTTGTTTAAAAAAGTTTGTTTTGGCTTTTGGGCAAGAGGTATGGATTACTTAAGATTTGGCCTGTATTAAAAATCCTAGAGAAATGAAGATCAAATTTTAGCAGATGTGGTGCTATGACCTTGAATCTTGGATTTGTTTTAGTTATCTAAAAGCAACTTTTCATTTTGCAGACGTGATAGTTTTTCTGTGTAGATGCAAACCTTCTGTTTGGTGGTTTTCAGGGTTTTTTTAAAATAGTTAATTGAAAGTTGCTGACAATACACTTTGTTTTGTTGTTGGTTTCTGGGAAGAATTACTCTTCCTATGAAATTCTGTGGACTCACAGGTGGGAAACAACCACTCTAGACAAGTCCCGTGCATCTCACACCTGTAGGTCACAATTAGGATTGCTAAATCTTTCCTCAAAAAGGTTGTTGTCCTATATAGGGAATACTCTTCTACCTATTGCCTGCTCAAAAAGATCGATCCTTGCTTGTTAAAACACTAAACTTCTCTTATAGGGTAAACATGACAGTCACTTGTGACGTCTACATAGAAAAACAACGTGATGGGGGCGTCTTTATTGCAGGAAGAGTTGACAATGGTGGGATATATGTTCGACGTACCAAAGGAGTTTTCTTCTGGGTTTTTGCAGATGGCACCTACAGAGTCACTGGTGATCTAGGTAAGCAGCTCTTTGCTAAAGTGGATGCTGACATATGGACACATGATTTTGATAGCCTTGATAAAAATGACTAATGTTCAGATTTTGTAATTCGGTTGTCATCACTATGAATTTAACACATTGTGCTCTAATGATGGCCACATTTTCTATGTGAAGAGAGCATCTGAAGGCTACTTGCTGGTGTACTTCTCAGTCTCAGCTTTCTGGATTTTATTTTTTTCTGCTGACAAAACCTATTTTACACTAGCAAATGTAAATTATTTTGCCTTCCATAAATACTCTGATACAATATTAATTATAGAAAGGTTTGATCTGTATTCTTATACTACACCTAAAAATAAAATTGTGCTTGAAATGCAGTGGCCTGTCTTGTATGTACACTGACTTGCACTGCTCTACATTTGGCTTAGGTGATGATGATGAGTGGCCTACTGTTTCCACAAATTATGCATCCTACTGTTAGTCTAGCTCAGTGGAGCGAGAGCGTATTCTACTTGTGATGCTAATATTCATATGTGTTCATCTATAGAGTATTTGCCAGACACGTGAAAGAGCGTATGTCATAATACCTCATCAATAGCTAAAAGTTCTTTTTAATTTGCTTTGAAATAGTGACAGGTTTTGTTGTTTAAATGCATTTCCTATCACTTCATGAGTATAAATTTAAATTTTCAATAGTTTCTGATGAGTCAAATGCAACTTCTAGATCTACAGTGTATCTGATATGAAGACAGCCTATGATGGCCCATTTCACACTGTACTGGACCTTAGAAAACGTCTCGTCTTCTATTTGGTAGCTGTAGTTTCTCATTTCTTCTCATGTTGTTTTTTTGTGGGTTTTTTTTTCTTCCTTTCCTTTTTTACCATGGATGGGTAGTGTGGAGGAGGCTTTACATTAGCTTCTCTTAACATACCGGTACTCCCTAGCGAAACTTTGCAATGTCTAACTCCATAACAACTTATGTTTCAGCTGTATGTAAAAACTTACTAATGTTTAGGATCGACTCTAGTATTTATTTTTAATAAGACATAACAACATTGCCCAATTAGTTTCTCAGGCTGTCAAAAATATTTTTTCCTAGATGAAATGAGAGGATTTTAATTTACCACCTCATTATTTCAGACTGAGACACTTGTTACACAATGTGATAATTTTTTTCTGTAGAGCTATTTTTAGTGATCTTTATATTTTTCTAGAAGGGAGCCTGAATGTTAAATTAACTTGCAGCTAAAACTGTCTACTGAATAATTGAAGATTCTACTTGTAGCACTTAATTTTTTTTCAGGTCTTCCATCCAGGTGTCAGTCACACCCCATTTTTGCTTAGCTTAAATTTTCATTAGAACTAAGCAAAAAGATGATGTGGCAACTCAAACCCTCTGATTTAAAAAAGTACTGATACATAAACAAGGAGAACAAGCAGAGCAATAGCTACTGTCACACTTCATGAACCCATACTCTCAATAGAGGGAATCCTTATCTCAGGGCAAATTCCCAAGAGCATTGGAGATTTCAGTGGAAAAACGGTCTTGGCAAAACAGGAAAAGGCACTGATAATGTAGAGTCCAGGTTTGTGTGTTAAGCCTTCCATGCTGCAGTTGAAATTGGCAAGATGTCAGTCCTGAACATTCTGAAAAATAGGTATTATTTTCCTTTTGCTGGCTTGGTATTTATCAGTCTCAGCAAACAGGAGAAGTAACACTTTGCTAACCTTAAGCATGTTTTGCAGCCGGAGAAGAAATATTAATGAAAGGACTTTCTGGTGTCCGGGATAATGCGTGGCACACACTTACTCTTAACATTCAGGTAAGGACACAGGCAAAAAGCTAGAAAACCAGTTACGAAACTTCCAATTCTAAATGGTTTAGACAAAACTATGCTATACTGTTGACTGTCTACTTGCATTAGTTTGCCCTATCTAAAACATAGTATCTCTGTTATTTTAAATCAATATTAAAATACCTTACCAAGTTCTGCTGCCTGTATTTTTAAAGAGATCTTGAGAAACTGGAGAGGTATAGAAAATAACTGGAAAGATGAGTTGAAAGCTGGAGATAGGAGGGATAGAGAGGCAAATCTTTTGTTTAATCTAATGAAAAGATCATGACCTGACTTCCTGTTCTGAAGACTGTCAGTAAACTACTAAACTAGCCTGTTTTACAAATCTGGCTCCCACCAATTCCCTTTGCATGCTAAGGCCTTGTATGTAGTGCTAGTTAAGGACTGGGGAAATAGGATGAGCTGCCATCCTTCTTTCCTATACTGACAAAGCATGGGCATAGTGTTGCTGTAAAAATGGGCCACAGTTAATGAAAAGCCTGTCTACATTTTTTCCTTCCCTCTCACTCCCCACCACTTTTGACCATAGTCACTTGGTGAGCAAAGTAGTCTCAAGCTCTAGTTTGAATGTACCTGTGCACTTAGCTGGGTGTGACATTGGTGCAAGTACTAAAAGGCTTTAAGTTCCTCTTCTGAATGCCTAATCCCTTTGTCTAATGTAACCTTTGCAACTGCAATGTGGCCTAAAATGTGGGGAAGCTTGAATCCTAGCTGGGGAGATCTTCCGCTGAAGCAAACTCTCTTTTAAAATTATGCACTGAGTCTTTCCCTTATGCTAAAATGTCAGTGAGTATTAGAAGCTGTTTTTTGTCTTGTATGCTTTCACATTGGGAGACAAAGGGACGTTTGTACCTAAGGCATTCACTGGAATGGATGTAGTTTAGTTTTGACTTTTGTACACCCACGCTTACGACAATGATTGCCATCTGTAAAATGGGCCAAGACCTGAATGGGGTGCTGAAGATGAACATAAATCGTTTAAAACACAAAATGGTGGTAATTTTAAAACGATGGTGCTACAAACTTCCATCTGTGCTGTTAAAGCATTTTGTACCAAATATGCCTTTGATGTAATGACAGAAGTGCAGAGCCCTCTTTAAAGAATTCTCATGCTGACTCCTTCTTGAAAGGCATTCTTTGCTTTTACTTGTGTCTGTAATGGTCTTTCAGATTAAGAAATACAAGTAAACTGAAGCACTTTTTTTCTAAATGCTGTTTAGTGGTACACTGGCAAGATAAATTGTAACTGTTTCTGAAACTGTTTTTAATTCTAATGGCAACGTGGTACTTGAAAGTTCTGCTGTCCCCTCTTCTTCTCAGCTTAATGACTGGAATACATCTCTCTTTCTTTTTGACTTTTGCTTAATTCTGCAGAATCAGTGCCAGGTGTATCATATCCCCTTAAGACAAGTTGGGCTGTTTGAGGGAGCCTGACACAAGTGGAAGAGGAAAACTAGTTTACCCTTCAGATTCTACACTGAGTTTACAAAGCTGTGAGTTAGTGGAAGATGAGCCTTTTATATATTCACTGTAAAGGCATTAGATCTGTTTCACAGAGCTGATAGGCACTGGAGGATTTTGTGCAATATTTAGAAGCGCCTCTGCATGGAAAATGTGTAAAATATACTTGAAAGTTGACTTGACATCTTTTTGCCTTGTCTCTTCTCCCATGTGAGTAGGTTCAGTGTCAACACAATCACTGGATTTTACAAAGCTAACTTTTTCCTTTTTTTGACAGGGCACTTCTGCCTCAGGACTGTTAAATGGTTATCCACTCTGGGAGAATGTCACTGTTTCTAAACCAAGTAATGGCTGGGCTGCTATTGGAACTCGCTCGTTTGAGTTTGCACAGTTTGACAACTTTCATGTTGAAGCTAGCTGAGGTGGCTTTTGCATTTGGAGAACCCAGTTCTCATATTGCTTTGAATAAGAGCCAGTTCAAACTTTGATGACAACTTAATGCTATGCTGAGATTGATCATTTGGCAAGGAATCTGGATTCTGTCCTTATTATTTGTTAAAGATTTACTTGAGTAGGTATCAACATGACTGTAACTTTATCCCCTGGTTGCTATGGGATTTTTGCCCTTCGATTTTTGGGGGTAAATTTTAGTTCAAGGTAATGATGAAAACAAAATCTGGATTTAAGTCTCTTTTAATAGCAACATCTTAACTTCCCAGCTCACTTTTAAGATAACTTTAGAAGTTAACAGAAGACAGAGGCATCTCAAGCTGCATTTCTAACACTTAGATAATTGTGTCCATTCCTTTCACTCTGAAAGAAAGAATTAAATGGTGGTAAGCCTTATGAGCCAGTGGCCCCATACTTTTGTAGGGCTGTCATTCTCAAATTTCATTTGGATGAAGAATCTAGCTTTTCTATAGTAAAAAAAAAAAAAAGACATTTTGTCTGTTTTTCTGCTACAGTCTGAGGCTAGACATTACTCCAAATGCATTTGATGACTTCTTCCTGATTACTTTTTCCAACTTGCATTGCCAGCCTTAAAATAGATATTTTCAGTGGAATGGCAATGTGCCTTACGGCTGATCAGGCAGTGCAGGATGTGCCTTACTTCTAAACTACCTCCTCTTTCCAATGAAAGGGTTGAAATGGATGAAAGATACCATAACTTGCAGTTCATTAATTATAGCCTTGTGGGTTTTTTTTTTTTTTGCATGGTGCAAAGAATAAAAACTTTGCATCATGGATGCTGGCAAGCAGAGTGCTTACTGTCATGTCAGGTCATGTGGAAAAACTGGCCTTTTGTTCCTAGAAACTTGGGCAACCGTCTCGCTTTTGATGGATCTAAAGCTTAGAGCAGAAAATAAAGCTTAACAATGTTATTTAGCTTATTATATTACTGTAGCACAGAGGAGATATGGATACTATCACATCCTGGTATAAAAGAAAATAAAAAAATAGTCTTTGCCCTTAAGAGCTTGCAATCTATTCATAAGGTAAGTGACAGCAGGTGGATGCAGACAGAATTGCTTAGTGTGCCAGCCAGCGGTATTGACACAATAGTGTCTGTTTTTAAACTTTTCCTAGGCATCACGTAGTAAAGTTCAGAGAGAATTTCAGATCCTTGGTAGAGGAGGGATTCTGTTTTGCTGTTGCTTTGTTGTTATTTTTCCAAGTTACTCTGCTACAAAAGAAAAATTCATTGAGAATATAATGAGGTACTGAATGGGATTTTCATTACACACATTCCAAATTCAGTTGGCTTCTGAATTTTTCTTGTTTGCTGTTGGTCAATTTGAATGAAGACGATGTCTATTGCAATAACGAAACATGCCTTCTGTGTCCGTCTGCTTTTCACATTCACATCCTATTTAATTGACAAGCAAGTAGTTCCACAGACTTGATAGGGCACTAATAGCTGTATGAGGCTATCTGCAGCAGGCAACATCTTATCCTGAGAAACAGATTTGCAGTATACTTCGATTTATACAGATTATTATTCTGATGCACTTTATTTTGAAGGCTGATTCCAGTGTTAACTTCAGTCTTCGAAGTTGTCATCTAATATAGAGTTAATGTAATACAAATCATTACTGGAAAATTTTTGTAAAGGTTATCTTCCAAATGAGCTTTTGGAGAGGAGATCTCAGAATTCCATCTCTAATAAGTAAAAACATTTTATCTTTTAGCTATTATACTGATACTGCTATTGATTGGTTATGAATCATTCATACGTGCGACTTTCATGTATACTAGTAACCTTGAAAAATGGTCCAAACCACTAAACTTTAAAACTCTCGTAGAAGGCTTCCAAATATTAACTATTTACTTAACTGGGTGAAAAATGAAAGCCATTTTCCCACTTGAGTTTCACTTGATGGTTGAAGTATGGATGCAAGTCTGTTGATTACTTGCTTGATTTCAGAAGGAATGTCATTGGTAATTCCAGATGTGAAGGAATCTAATTTTAGGTCCTCATATTCAAGTAATATGAGTATAGGAGAAGTAGTTCTCAGAATAAACTTATTTTAGCTGTGATGGATTTTCTTAGTAGGATACTTCTTGGAGACTTCCTGGTAGCTTGTGTGGCTGCAAACAGTGTTTGTGTAAGAGAGAGATCAGCAATGATGCAGTTATTCCAAAAGAGCTGTCCAGTTATTTTACCTTTTATTGCACTAATGTAATAAACTGTACTGTTGTGTATTAAACACAATGTATTTTATCACTGGAAGTGTTGCTTTTTTTTTTGTTCTAATCTTAATTTATAATGTTAGAGGATTAAACTGTTATGAACAGAATAAGTGATTTAATGGTGATATAATGTTATTCATCTCTATATGTCTAATTCTTCACCCTTCAGCAGGCTGTAATATGTTTGGCAATAACAAGCTGTCAGGTCTTTCACTGAGGGGTGGATTTATGTTGTTGATTATAAGTACTAATCATTCCAAATGGACAAATAAAACATTTTAAAACCCTTTATTTGTGCAGAATGCTTCTGTAAATAGGTCTTGGTTTTCTTCAGTAAGAAAGCTGACAGTTTTTCCATTGTGATTCCTGATAAATATACTTGGCATTAGCTTAATGGGGTTGGAAGAGTTTTTCTGACACTCTGAATAGCCAAACAGTCCTCACTAACAAATATCTCAAAATCCATATGCATTAGGACTTGTGCTGTTGATAAAACATTTTTTTTATAAACGCTCAATATACATTTTGCTTCTTTCTGGTTTTGTTTTTGCATTTAGTTAAGGGAATTAAATTGTATTTGAGGGGCAGTCATGCAAAACTGCTGAGTACTAAGGTCTTGTGGGATTTAACTGGAAGTCTGTTTCTAGGTATGGAAACACAGTGCTGTACAGATGTACTTTTAAAGTTTAAATGAGGCTTCTTTACTTTGAATATCCTTTTGAATCTTGCTTCAAACATGCTTCCCCCCCCGCCCTAAACTTAAGGGTTCAGCTTTAAAAGGGGCGGGAGAGAGAGAAATTCCATAGAGCTAGTCATGTTTTCCAGGCTGTCATGCCATTAGATGCGACTTACCCTGGAAATACTGTCTTCAGTAGCCAGGTATGTGCTACCACCTACACAAACACTGCATCAAAATCAATTCTGTCCCTTCTCTGCCACCCCACCTTTGAGGTTAGACACGATGAGCAGTTCTTGGGATTTTCAAATTCCTGCAAAACACCAGGACTCCTTTGCTTTAAAATTACAGGAGACTCTATTACTTTAGGCTACTGATGACAGTTCCTTTTGCAGCCACCTCCTGGTTTCACTGTATCAAAAGTAAATTTCTAGTTCAGGATTTGATTTGGAGTGGTAGTGGTTTGCTCTTTTCTTACTGAATCAGTTTTATTGCATGGTAACAGCAGGTTGGTTGTTTTCACTTAACAATTTTTCATTGGCTTACCTGAAGTTTCTATCCAGAGTCCATTTTCTGGAGGGGCATGCATATTATGAAAACAGCCACCATAATTATTGCTGTCTTTGACGATTTCAGCATGTCCAAAGAGGGACAGTGATAAGAGACCTTATCATCCTCACTTCAATGTTTTGTGTATTTTTTTTTTTAAACCCCCCTTGTAAGTACTACATTCATACAAGTCTAGCACATGCTGGGAGGCGGGGGGGAGGGGAAGGTTGTAAAAAAAAAAAAAACCCTAATTTTAAAAGACTTGCTAGGCTTGTAGTGGAATCGTCAGGTAGCTATTTTAAGGTTTTGAGCATATTATACTTTGATACATGATGAGAAGAAATATCATGTGCCGATTAATGTCAGGGCTTGCTGAAACAGAGAAATAAAATGCAAATGATTACCTAAGATATCTTTGTTAAGGAGATGGATAAAGGTTAAGTGCTTTTTGTGTGTGGCTGGAACCTTAGCAATCATCCTGCCCATATTGGTAATGCATGAAAAGTTAGCATGAGCAAGTTCCTCTTGCCACTAGATATGTTCCTTCCATTTATGCTCAAGTGTCACTGAAACAATAAAGGTGGTGTTTCTAGAACCTGTGTTTAAAAAAAAAAAAACAAACCCAAAACACCTACTAGCAATCGAGTAGACAAAAACGTGTGTTGCAGCAGTGTTGCCAAGCTTTCACTGTGTGCCAAGGTACTTCTGTGTGATTTTCATAGTGGCTAAGACAAGCAACTGTAAAACACTATTTTTCCCCTCAAGGAATTATATTCAGATAAGGTTAGAAACAGATACAGAACCCAAACATCAGTTTTGTCAGGGGGGCTCCAAGTAGCGTTGCAAATAGTGTGGTAAACCTGTCCTTTACTTTTGTACACCCCAGGCTAAACCTAGACATATCTCTGGAAAGCAGAGACGAAAGTAACCTAAAAGTGTTTGTGTTGACTTTTTTTTTTTTTCCCCCAAAATGCCTTTTCTGTTGGTATCAAGTGTACCTGACTGAGAGTTAAAACTTCACTTAGAGCAGGAAAACAGTAATTTTGGTTTTACTGTGCTCATGGATGCATTTCAAGACGCAAAACTGTAGTAGAGGATGGCTCAGTACAATACTAACTTGAGGGTTTGCAAGAGAAAACAGAACCTAGCACCCTAGGCTAATGTTGCGCAGGCATAGTCTGGGAACCCTTGATGGTCTAAGACAGAGAAGATAACACAAAAATGACTATTTAAAAAAAGCCTGAAACAACAACAACAAAACTCAAACTCTGCGCATGTGTACCCAAATAATACGGGGAAAAGCAAGAATAGTACAGGTTTAGCTTGACTTCCTTTGTTCAGTTCCTGCTGGGAAATGCAGTCATCTTCCTTGCTGTTTTCCATGGATGATAATTTAATTAAAATGCCTATAGAGAATACAAAACTTCATTGTTACTAAAAAGCAAATGTTGTTTAGCTAATTATATACACTGCCATTTTCCAAGAACACTATGATTAGAAAAGGTTAGAAAACATGACAACAGGTTATGCAGCTGAATGGCATGCCTGTGATGTGTGAATCAGTCCTGCTCCTGGTTGCAGAAGGTTTCTTCTCTGCTAGCATAGCAGCAGAGCTGTAAGAAAAGGGAAAATGCTTCTCTGTTACTGCCACTGTCCTTCCAAGGTTTTGGGAAGCTTCATGTACATCAGCCAATCTGAGATTGCACAGGAGCAGCTCTGTAGCCTCTTAGCTTGATTATACAGAGTTAACTGAGTCATTTGAAAGAGCACAGGCAATGACAAACAGCAAATCCTCTTGAGGATGTCTGCATTCCCTTCTCATGTGATTGCTCTTGTAGTGGCAGCAATAAATGGCAGTGTTCGTTGGCAAGAGATCAGACAGGTTTTGTGCCGAGCTGAGGTGCACGCTAATGTCTCAGTGCAGAGATCTATAACGCTGCGTTGGGATGCACAATGTCTCTGGCATAAGCTGCCTATTTCCTATTCAGTCTAAGATTGCTGCTTAATGGTTCAACTTCAGTTTTTTTCTTGCTGTTCAGCTGATACTTTATCCTAAAAAAATGTTTTGCCAGCATTACAGGAAATTTGCTCAATGCAGCAGGGCAAGTCTGTACCAGAAGGAGGCGGCTGAGAATACCCTGTTGATGATCCAGCCCATCTTCTTACCAAATAAGAACTTTTTCCTGTTGTACATTTTTGGGGCCTGTCTTAGTTGAGTGCTGAGACAAAAGGGTGGGAGAGCTTCCACTTCTCTTGTAGGTGACTATT